CCGGGCTGGATTTCAACTGTTTGCATGTGCACCACCGGACCGCATAGTAAAAGAAGAGTTGGGCGCGGCCTTAGCGAACGCGTTGGAATAATAGCCTGTCTCTTATACACATCTAGATGTGTATAAGAGACAGCTATATAGTCTTAGGAGTAGTGGTAGGAAGGGAGACGGTCTTGACATGTCATCATTGAATTTTTTTTTTTTTTTTTTTTTTTTTTTTCCCATCAGCCCCGGCCGTATAGGTAAGTTCAGACGCATGCTATTCTGCTGTCTCTTATACACATCTAGATGTGTATAAGAGACAGGGTGATAGGAGCAGCCCTCTTAAGTGGGACCTGCGTGGAAGGCTCCATCTATTGGTGGGGAGCAGCACCTGCTGGAAAGCGGGTCCAGCATCCCCAATTGATACATGACAGATGCAATTTGATATTCTTCCCATTTCCTAAGGATAAAGAAGATTTATGGTTGATGCTTTCCTTTAGAAGCACAACGAATGGCACGCATGATCCCTTTGAGTTCAATTCTGCCACACTTGCTCCCTTTCTCCTCCCCTCGCCAAGGCATTGTGATTTTCTTTCTGTTCCGTTTTTGTTTTTATGAGGGGCTAGCCCTTACGAGGTTTGTATTTCATATATGGACGGTAGCCCCTATGAGTGAGGTTTGTACTTCGGATATCGTGGGGAGGGCGGGCTCCACTGGGCCATCGACGGCCACTGGCCAACCGTGCGGACTGCTTCCTGTCTCCAGTGGCCGGCGGCCATCAAAGCTCTTGGGCTGCCCCTTGAGCTTCCTAAACCAAAAGTTCCATTCCACCAACGAGCCCAGCTCAGTTGGTACACCCGTGAACTGTTGAAATACGAACCCATGTTCAAATCCTGCTTTGGACCTTGATGAATGGAATAAATCATTCTGAATTACCAAGGGGTGGTTCGATCAATGAAGATATCCCAAGGCTGTCGCCCTTTCAGAAAAAAAGATAAAAAGTTCCATTCCTATATCCCAAGGCTCTTTTTTTTAATATTTTTTAAGCTTCATACCTATTAGATGCATGGTCAATTCGTAAACCTGAAAAAAAAAAAARAAAAAAAAAARAAARAWAWRAAWWAAAAAAAAAAARWAAAATTRAAMWAAAAAAAAAAAAAAAAACCTGTGAAATTTCCCAAAACAAAATAAAAATAAAAAAAATAAACCTGTGAATGCGGACCTGAGTTTGTATACGGTTGGGTTAGATGAATGAATTCCCCTGGGGGCAAGTCCCACTAGCAGCGTCGAGCTACCTCAACGCCTGAATCTGGACGCTTTTGCGAAGATGTGCAGAAATGGTGTTGAGTTTCCTGAACTGCACGTCTCCACTAACACGTCCAGATTCAGGCGTTGAGGTAGCTTAACGCTGCTACCTTCTTCCCCCGAATACAACGTACGGTCATTATAGCTGTATTTAGACTGAAAGATGCCCCAAATACAGCTATAACGACCGTACGTTGTATTCGTGGGAAGAAGGTAGTGGGCATTGGCCCCTGGGCGGGGCCGGCGCACGTTGAAAAGTTTATTACTTGGACCTGAGTTCGAATCCTTGAGTGGCTTTTGTTTCAATCGGGCTGGGAGGGATGGTTCTTCTTCAGGAATGCCCGTTGCGGCGGTTGGCCTCAGTGGACCTGCGGGTCCAAAGGGGAAAGGTCGGCAGCCTCCGCCGAATGCGACAAGTGAACTCCGCATGGGCGGGCGTCGTAGACCCTGATGCCCGCCGTTCTTAGGAACGGCCCAGGACGAGACGGAGAGTACCATCGGCCGCCCCGAACAAAACACACCCGCATCCCGCCTGCATCGGGTTGGAAAGATCCCTTGTATACATTTTCATGCCGAGGGTGCGATGTGCCTCGAGAAGACGCGGGAAAACAGGCAGTTACCGGCGAGACGGGCTCGAGACCGGTCCGGCGGGTGCACGTGCTTCATTTATGGCCGTAGATTTGGAAGATGGACGCGCGGAAGTGGAGCCCGGCGCCTCGTGCCCATGATTTTGTGTTTTCTCTTACGCTCTTTTTCCTGCCCGTTTGCTTTTCCCCTAAACCGCACCGTTTCTTTCTTTTTATTTATTATACATATATATATTTTTATTAACCGCACCGTTTCTCGATTCTCGATTTATGCGTGGTATCCATGCGCAGAGGCCAGGTCCAACTAACAGCAGCTCAACGCCCGAATGTGGACGTGTTTGTGGAGATGTGCAGAAGATTGCGTCGAGTTTCCTCGACCGCACATCTCCTCAAACATGTCCAGATTCGCACGTTGAGGAAACTCACCACTGCTGGTGGGACCTCGCCCCAGGGGCTTCAATTCTAACGGATGTCCCGTCCCGGAGTACGGCCATGAAATTTTCACGGGTTTGCCGTTGGGAAACTCCCGCCGCCTGGTCATCCCCCTCGGCGGGGCGGGCAATCGCCTGCGGCGGGTGATGGTCGTGGAATGCAATGGACCTGGGGCTACCGGTAGGTCCCACTTGCACGAATTAAGAGATACTGACCGTAGATAGACAAGATCAACGGCCGAAATCTCCTAATTTGCGCAAGTGGGACCTTGTCCCCAGCTGCATGATTTCCGCCGGATTTTCTTTTCGTCTTTCTTTCGGCCGTCGCTCCACTACTCGTTACTTGCACAAAAGACAAAAAAAAAGTACGGCGGTGTATCGCCCTGTGTTCTGTGGCACTATGCATTGTCGATTTTTGTACACTTGATGAGTAGTGGAGCGAGGCCCTTTTCTCTTTTTGTCTAGTCTAGATAGAAGGGAGACGGTCCTTTTTTTTTTTTTTTTTTTTCCTATACTATGTTCTTCTATACTTGATCAAGAAGGCGGACAGCCTAGGTTGCAGGGTCTCCCATTGCACTTTGGGACTCGCCTGGCCTAAGTCACACCCGCGAAGGTGTTACTACGGTACTATTTCAAATTCTTTCTCGCCTTTACCTAGTTTGTGAGGCCCTATGCTTGCAGGGGTCCCCTCTATATAGTCTTAGGAGTAGTGGTAGGAAGGGAGACGGTCTTGACATGTCATCATTGAATTTTTTTTTTTTTTTTTTTTTTTTTTTTGTTTCCCATCAGCCCCGGCCGTATAGGTAAGTTCAGACGCATGCTATTCTGTTCATCTTTGATTGCATTTTTGATTGCGTCCGGATTCGAACACCGGGCTGGATTTCAACTGTTTGCATGTGCACCACCGGACCGCATAGTAAAAGAAGAGTTGGGCGCGGCCTTAGCGAACGCGTTGGAATAATAGCTGTGAAACGGCTCACGATGCGTCAGTCACCTTTTCGTCCTTTTATTTTTTTTGTTATAGCAGTATAGCAGTAGAGTGCCGCTCACGCGTTTCGCAGCTTGATCACGATGTCCTAGGTGGGAGATGGGAGACGGGAAGGCGCAGAAAAGTGTGCGGCGTGTCGCACACTATAGGCAAAAGAAAGAAGGACCCCCGCGCCTTTCGCAGCCTCCCTCACGCAACTCCTCAGCCCCGGCCCCCCCCCTTACCCCCCAAGGCACGCCGCAATGATAGTCACGCACATTTAGCAAGAAAGTATAAGCCGCGGGGCGGCTGGGGGCAATGACAACGGACCCCACACCAATATAAAGGCGAGCCGCCCCCCCGACTTGGCGGAGCGTTCCGAAGGTTATCGTTTAGCCCTGGGGTATCTTGTTGTTGGGCGTTGGCGGTCGGAAAGGGTGAGTCGGCGCACTCGATTCTTCTCGATTTTTTGTGCGGGGTGTACTTGGGGAGAGTAGGCATAGTACACTCACACATAAGTAGTATCTCTGATCTAACGGCGAACACTTCCTGTCGGCTGGTGTTTTTCGCGCTGAAGGCAGGGCGTCCTTTGTCGGCTACCCCGATCGCATGCCAGTGATGTCATTTTCACGTGAGTTAAGATTGAGTTAAGGCATCACTTGAGTGGCGGAAGTGTCGGCGCACGCAGCCAGGCTGGGCGGGCCGCTGCCGCCGTCGTCCGCAGCTGAGTGGTGAGGTCAGACCGGTGGTAGTCGGGGAGGTTAGTTCGGCTCACCTGCACTGTTTTAACCTTGGATAGCGGGCTTCTGCAGCAAACGGAGGCAATTGCAGTTAAGTACGCCTGCATAGCATCTTAGTACCACCTCTGCAGTGTGGTACGTGACCAGCAACGGGACGTTAGGGCTGTTAATTTGAGTGCAAGGGCTGTGTCTGAGATTCTCGCGGCGGCGGAAGGCTGTAAGCCGGCGTTGATCTTCCAGTTGAGGGGAGCGGAAGGCGGGTGGTGGCTTCCGCTCGGCTGACGATTTTGGTGGTCGTGACACTAGCCAGTGAGTATGGTTTTGCATTCAGCTCTCAATTCTGTTGGCGATTACTATTCACGCTTTGGCTGCCTCGTTCGGATTATTCACGCTCTATATGTCTTGCTCGTCTCTTCGTCAGTCCTCATTCCTTGGTAGCTATCGTTCTGCCTGTTTCCCTGTTCTTTGTGTTCTTGCAGTTTTCTCTGGTCTGTCTTTCTCTCTGTTCTCTGTGTTTTTGCTCTCTTTTTTTCTCTCTTTCTTTCTCTCTCTCTCTCTCATCTGTGGATTCATTGTATGTGGTCTTGTAGTCAGGTCTTGTGAATGTCATTGATGCTAGCAAGAATCAACACTTGTTCGTATGCTCACTTGTCTTCATCCCTTGGTAGCTGTCGTTCTACCTGTTTCCCTGTTCTCTGTGTTCTTGCAGTTTTATGTGGTCTGTCTTTCTCTCCGTTCTCTGTGTTTTGTTTTTCTGTCCTCTTCCGAACTCCTACATTGGCTTTGTCCTCTCGATACACCTGTCTATCGCCGTCTGTCCGTGCTGCAACTTATATCTGTAGTTCTCCACGCGGCCTCGCTCCTCTTCGATTACACGTGAATCTCTTTTGCTTTCATCAAACGGGAAGAGGAATCTTACGACTCGGCAGTCGCCGCCAACAATTGGGTGAGAAAGAAAGAGTGGTGGCCGGTCTCTTGACGCTTGTTGAGAGCAAGCCGACGGCTTGCTGTCTGCTCTCCCTCTTCTCATTACCTCCTCTTCCTTCTTCTCTCTTTTCCTGTTCATTCTTACAATAACATCTCCATCGTGCAATCTTGTCGTGTTCCCAGGCGTTTCGCGTTTTGCCCTTTTACTTCTGGACGACGCTCGTACCGCTAGTGTTCCTCACACCTCACTTCTCGCTTCTCCCATTGGCCTTCGCAATTCCTAATCTTCTTCTCCCTCCCCGCGTTCTTCTTCAGATGCGGCGTGGTTGGCGGCTTCCGCGCAGTCGTGCATAGCCGCTGACTTGCTTGCTTGCCTCTGGGTGTAGAGCGTGCTTTCATCTGCAGGCAGGGTCTGCGTGGTCGGCAGTTTCATCGCCGTCTTGGATTCTTTCCATGTCTCTGTTTCTAGACCTTGCCTTTCTGTGTAGATGGTGCGTGGTTGGCGACTTACTGTTGGTCCTGAACTTTGTCCTTGGCTGTCTGTCTATCGCCAACGTATACTGTCTGCCATCGCGAACGTGTACTGTCTGTCCATCGCGAACTTAATACTTCCACACGTTTTGCTTCTCAGGTGGGATATTTTCTTATCTTCTCGCGTCTCGTGTAAGGATGTGATCACATGGTTATGGTTCGGGTCGAGGTTGGTGGTCTTTTTCTTTATCTATCTCGAATATATTTTACCGCACGTTTTGCAGCTCTGGTGGAAGATTTCTCAATCTCTCGCGTGTCGTCTAATGAAGCGGTGGTGACCGCGTGTCTCTGGTTCTGATCAGGCCAGCTGCTTCGTTGGGTCTCTATTTACTATCTCGAACGTATGCTGCTGCGCACGTTTGGCTGCTCTGGTGAACTTCATTTCTTTCGTAATGTCTGGATGTCTGGCGTCTCTTTCTAAGAGGAAAGAGGTGTGATCTCGTGTCTGTGGTTCTGGTCAAGGGCGCCATTTCCCGGCGAAGGTATCGCATCTGGATAATGAAATGTCTAGGAGATATATTTCCGGTCAATAGCACAGCCAAAATGAGGGTGCGTTGTGTTCGGTGGAAGACGGTGGTCAAGTCAACATGGTTTGTTGCTAATCGTTCCTGATGATCTGGTTTTGCCGTTTTTGTGCAGGCTGGCGGAGATGAATAGGAAACCGGGAGATTGGGATTGCCCGGCGTGCCAGCATATGAATTTTGGATTCCGGAACACATGTCAGCGCTGCAACGCGTCGAAGACGGGCGGCGTCGGCGGCGGAATCGGCGGCGTCGGCGGCGGCGGTAGATCTATGTCCTCAGGAGTAGGGTTCTCGAATTATGGAGGGCCGATCGGAGGAGGAGGCGGGATGGGAGGCATGGGAGGCATGGGAGGCATGGGAGGAGGCATGGGAGGTGGAGGGATGGGTTCTTCCTTTCGCCCTGGAGATTGGTACTGTTCGTCGCCTGGTTGTGGAGCGCACAACTTCGCTAGTAGAAGCAGTTGCTTTAAGTGCGGCGGGATGAAAGGCATGGACAGCGACCCGGCAGGAGGAGGCCGAGGATTCACGAATGGTGGCGGCTTCGGTGGCGGCTTCGGTGGGGGGTTCGGTGGTGGTGGCGCTGCTGGTGCTGCAGGTGGCCGCCAAGGCTGGAAGCAAGGCGACTGGATGTGTTCCAGGTGAGAGTCTCTCAGTCCAACTACGTGAGACTCGGTGTAACTACGTCGAATTTTCAGTTGAGGTTGATGTCTCTCTTCTTGTGTGCTTGGAACGTAGTGCAATTTGTTTCCTCAAGACTTCTAACACTAATCTCAGTCGTTCGAGTGCTCACCGAGGTCGAGAGGAGGTGAGATGTCTCGCTGCTGTGTAGTCGTGGTGCCTCGATGTTCGTCATGCACGACCTTCAAAAAAAAGGTCAGATGGTCGAACCCTCGTCGAGCTCGAGAGGAGCAAGGTTTTTGTATCTTTTCTTGATGTTGCTTGTCTGTACTTGTTTTGCCTTTTTTTCTCGTCCATGACGTTCCTATCAGGCGTTTAAATTACTCAAAGGTGGTTGACTAGGCTTCGTTCATTCCGACAAAGAAGCTAATAAGCGTTTCTTTCCTCTTCTTTGATGAAGAAGTGGTAATGTGTCTTCATGCGTAGTTTAGACGAACGTCTTACATCAGGGCGAGGGAAGGAAGAGTTCCGTCTGTTCTCAGGCACAGAAGCAGACCGGGTTGGGTTGCTCCTGAGCGCGCTCTTCGTCAAAACGATTGAAGGATGTTTTCTTTCGCGGCGGTGAGTGTCGATTAGTCATTGTGCGCATCGTCTTTCCCCCGGATTGCGTGTGGTGCCCACCGGCGATACTAACAGACGAGTAGATAGGCACAGGCGACGACCATCGCCGTCATTATTGGCTGAGGGTTTCTCACCGGCGCACTCGTCGAAGCTGCCTACCACTGGATGTGCCTTGCGTCGTGTCAGAAGAGACGTACTCTCAGCGCTTGTGCTTGTCCTCTCGGCCCCCTTTCTGTCGCGTGATGCTGTGTTCTCCGTCATGTAGTCTCACAGGTAGGCAAGGAGTGGAGGAAGCGAGAGGTATGAGAGTAGGGATGAGAGTAAATAATGTTATGGAGAGTAGGGATGAGAGTAAATAATGTTATGGAAGACGATATGAACTGCTTGCCTCTTTACTGAATGTGTTTGCGTGGCGACTGTTAGGGGAGTGCAGCGGTGTCCACCGAACGGGATCTTGGAATTTTGAAAATAGAGTAATGGGAACGTCGATAAAGAGACGATATTGGGCACTTGAGGGAAAGGTGGTGTTGTTGAGGAGTGGGAATATGGAGATTTCATGCTGTAATTTGCGGCCACGAGTGGGAAAACGTTTTGCTGTTCGTACTCTTGCTCTGCCGTTCTCCGTCTTTGCTGGCTCTTTGTTCCGCAAGGGAGTCGTGACCGAATCGGAACAGGGCGTCCTTGTCGGTGTGAGGCAGCGGAAACGAGAGAGAGGGAAGGAGAAATCGGATTGATGGCTTAAAAAATCTGAAGGTCGTGTTTAGGCCGCGTTGGAGGTGAACGATGACCTGCTCTTATTGGGCAAGGTTGAGAATGAGCAGTGGTTAATGTACCTTATATTGTCTACAGTCTTCCAAAGAATTGGTGCACTGCACCATGGTGTGCCTGGAATAGATAGAGAGGGGATTGTGTACTTGCAAAACCGTAGCGTTAAGTTTATAGGCTGAAATGCGTGTTCTGAACTTTTATCTGCGCTTGTTGCGCACGATTGGGAGTAAGGTGCTCGAGGTACCTTCTAATATTTCCGGTTTGTCAAGGAATGCTATATTGTCCTACACTGCATAGTCTTCGGGGATTATGGCCGCATCCAACTGGAAATATGTCTTGTATACATTCAGAATCAGGGTGCGTTCTGTTCGGGGGGAGACGGTAGAGAATGTCTCTGATGGCGTAAGGTCTTGTCGCTCACGGTTGGGAATAAGATATGCTTAATGTACCTTGTTCTATTTCGTCTTCCCGGATTATGACCGCATCCAACCGGAAAGATGATTTGTATACATTCAGAATCAGTGTGCGTTTTGTTCGGGGGAAGACGGTAGAGAATGTCTCTGATGGCGTAAGGTCTCGTCGCTTACGGTTGGGAATAGGATATGCTTAATGTACCTTGTTCTATTTCCGGTTTGTCGAAGGACTGGTATGTTCTCCTAGACTGCCTTTAGCACGTGTCTGATGCGGTTGTTTTCCAGATTTCGTTCTGTTTTCAGACATGCCTTCATGTCAGTGCGGCTCTCATCGACCTCTGGAGAATATAGACGAGTAGAACGCGTGATGTGTGATCGGATTTGGATGGAGTTTTCGACGAATGCGGAATCCGTCTGCCTAAGGAATGAGACTCTTAGTGGCTGCTTGAGCACTAAGAATTGCGGGTGAGGACTTGGAAGTCCAGCCGTGGCAGAGTCACAGGCTCAGCAGCGGCTGAGGACTGATAATTTATCTTGACAATGTGTTTTTCCGTGTACAGTGGTTGAGTCAGGTGGGAGTGGGTCGCCACTGCATCGGTAGTTATGTGAGCGCTTGTCGGAGCAGGGGCAAATGAGGGAGCTACCGTCTTCACCTGAATGGAGCGTCCGGTCAGTATGGCTGTGTTCGGGGCAACATTCAGTTAGGACACAGCCATAATTACACTGCGTTGGATTGGGGTGAAGACGGTAGTGTCTGCAGCGGGTAGCGGCTAAGTCAGGTGCGATTGATTCCGTTGTGGATGGGCAGCTACCGGTCAAGTTACTATTTATTCGACTCTGAATGCACAGATGTTTTGTCTGTGCTTGCTGAGGGTATTGTTGGTCGTGCACTGTCCGAATCAGCAGCAGCGGGTTGCGCTGTCGCACGGGTAAGTGGATGGTCAAGTTTGTGCTGAGCATAGCAATACTGACACCGTTGATCGTAACACCAGCATCATTGACATTTCGATCGGAGTTGGATGGAATAATGAAGCAGTCTCTGAGTTCTCGTGCCGCCGTCGAAATTGAAGTGGGGTCGGGTTTTTGCGTCTCCAGACCTCAAAATAGGTGGGGGCCGAGTCGAGCCGAGCTGAGATATGGATGGCGAAAGCCAAAGAGGCATAAAAAATGTATGTCTTGCGTGCCATGACGAGTCCAAATTTAGTGTTGCGTATACTCCGATGCTCTTTGTATCGGGCCCTGCGAAGGTGATTAATTAAGTAGTTAAGGAGAAAATAGGGAGGCGGGAGCTAGAGGGGCGGAGAAAGGAGGGGGGAGGACGGTTTCGGCTAGTGAAGGGATGGGTAGGGGAGGAGTTTCCAATGACTCTTTCACTCTCTGATAGTTTTACGTAATGCGCTATAGGAGTAGTTATTGTCTTCGTCGTGGCCTGGTTAATCTCGCAGAAGCCAGCTGTCTGCAGTCCCAGTGCAGTTGAGTGGAGGTTCGATCGTCATTTTCCGACTGATCATGACTGGATCGAATGGCGAGCATGGACTTCTCAGATTATCTATAATACCGTCTACACTTTAATAGAGCGCCTGGTTGTTAATGCTGTATTTGGGGCAAGTTTCGGTCCAGATGCAGGTATAAATGACCGGGCGTTCTATTCTTGTGAAGACAGTAGTAGTCAACTGGGTGTCCAGTGCTGTAAGGACTGGTTCTGCAAACATGCTGTATTGTATTCTGCTCGTGTAGTTGTAGTTGTCCCTTGTAATAGTTTGCATTGATTGAGTAGCGTGACTGGTTATAGCGGCGCTTGGCAGAAATTAGCAATTGGCAATTAGCACTTGGAGCGGTAAGGGCTGGGGCTCGTGTAGTTGTAGTTGTCCCTTGTAATATTTTGCATTGATTGAGTAGCGTGCCTTTTTATTGCGGCGCTTGGCAGAAATTAGCAATTGGCAATTAGCACTTGGAGCGGTAAGGGCTGGGGCTTGACAGACAGAAGGGTGGGGGGTAATTGACCCAGACTGCTGGCATCGTCGATGGGCGGTTTTGAATCGTCAAGAGCATGGATTTTAAAGGATTTGCATGTGCTCGAGCTGCTACACAAAGGTGGAGCATTATTTCTTTTTTTCAATGGTGGAGGTGAAGCCAACGATATATTTATGTATATATCTAAACTTATGGTTTTTATAGTAAGTGGCGAGACCGCATATAAGTTCGGAGCCCCTGGGTCGTATCGCCCACCTGCTGTAGCAGGTATGGGCGCAGCTCCCGCATGTTCCCTCTTTGGAGGCTTGAGCACGGATGTGGCTGCTACGGGGTTCCCCGTAATACTATAATGACAATAAAAAAGGCCGTCCTGTCCAGATTTGACAGGTAATTGAATTGGTTGGGCTTCAAAGAATTAGCCTTAAAAAAAAGAAAAAAAAGGAGGTCCGGAGATACGTGTCAAAAAAAAACAAAAAACAAACAAACGAATTTGTTCTTTTTCCCCCTTTTTTCGCTTTTGCGCTCTCATATTCATGTGATGAATTATATATATCTATATACCTATATTTTCTGCGTTATGAGCATCAAACTGGATAGGGTCCAACGATATATCTATGCATCTACATCTATATACCTATAACTTCTGCGTAGGGTATACCGTCCCTGAGTGGTAGAAAATGATTTATGACCATGTAGTGCCGGTAGCATTGAGTGCCCTGGGAGACCCCAGGGGATCGACTGCAGACTACTAAGGAGGTTGGGAGATTCAGAGGGAGAGGGAGATGGGAATAGCGGTACTGAGATTTGTGGGCAAATGCCGTGAGTATGCTGAGCTTAGCTGCAGCCTCACTGTAGCGGGTATTTCGCTCTTACGTGCCAACAGTCGGCTAGCATTTTCAGTTTTGTGGAAACCACAGAATTTAAGCCTCGGTCTTACCTGCATCAGCGTCAGTGAAGCACTTCTCTCTCCATGTGTGTGCAGGCCATGTGCCGAAGGATGGTTTGTTTTGTCGTCGAGAAGTGAAGCGAGTTCACAGAAAAGCGTTGCGCCTGGTCTCTTGTTCCCTTTTTTTTGTGGTCGTTTTAGTTTTATGGCTTCGTTGCGAACTTGCGAGCAATGTTTATGGCCATCTTTGCTTATATCAGTACAAGCGATGCACCTGGTCATCTAAGCAAACTAAATGGTATTCAATGTACCTCTTGTCGTACGTTTTCTGGACGAAGTTCATGTTGATCGTTCGCACTTTGAGATTCGAACAATAATTCGGTGTCGCTCGCACTTGAGATGGAAGCAATCACTCGGCGGTTCACTTGAGGGCACAGTATTAATTAATCTGGTCAAGAGTAATGTAGCTTGAATTATCCCTTTTTTTTTTTTTTCGGTTTGTGACTCTATTCTGGAGTTCTCAGCAGTGTGCCTCGTGTGCCTTTTTTTTTTGTTCTTGAGATACCATCGATTGAGATAATCGGGCCGAGGTAATTCAGAGTTGTTTTTCAGTCGTCCGGTTCGTGCGAGTTCGAACTGAACTATTGTTTTTCAGTCGTCCGGTTCTAGCGGAGTTGTTTTTCAGTCGTCCGGTTCTAGCGGGTTCTCTATTTCAATAGTTCAGTGGTGTATGAGCTGAGGTAGGCCAACTGGTTGGACCTATGATTTGAGAATCGATTGGAACCAAGAAATCGATCGTATTATTACAGTAACTCCAGACTGGGCAGGATTCGTTTTTACGCAAGCGCTACGCGTCTAACGTTCAATTGGTTTGGTCTCTTGGTCGGAAAGGGGGGATTACTCTATTATGACAGACGAAGTGAAAGAATTCGACGGACGGCAATAGATGATTTCAGAGTCCATCGTTTCTCCATGATGGACATCTTTTGTGAGAGATGCTATATTTTCGATCGAAATGACCTGGAAAAGCGAAAAGCAGTTAGGATTAGGCATGGGGCACAGGGAACACATGGAGAGGGACGATTGTGAGGTCTCGGATCTGGATGTATACTTCGATTCTCGAAAAGACGAAACAAACTCGATTATCGTAGCTGGCGATGATCTATAGAAAACCTCGAAACTCGATTATCGGAGCTGGCGATGATCTATAGAAAGCCTCAGAAGATGGGTCTACGAAGGCGATTATCGAGATCCCAGGGGGGCAGAACACCGATGTTCTTGGTGGCTGTGACATTACGATAGCCTTGAGATAATGTCATTGAATCGACCGGCCCAGGTAAGTCTAGAGGTATGGAATTTGTTAATCTACTGCAACTGGATTCTGAATTCTGTTTTTTTTTTTTTTTTTTTTTTNTTCTGAATTCTGTTTTTTTTTTTTTTTTTTTTTTGACTGATCAGAACAGAGGTAGTACGCTTGATCTTAGCCAAAAGGCCGAGAAATGTATACTTGTCTCTATTTCAGCAGTTCATGGGTGTACTAACTGAGCTACGCCCGCCTGTTACGATACATCTCTTCGATTGAATCTGGTTGGGGCCTTCGTTTCTGTTCCTCTGGCCGTGTGTCTGTGTACACCTATTCCCTAATGTCTATTGCAATTTTTTCGATCGAAGCTGGTTGGGCCCTTTGTTTCTGTGCCTGTGACCGTGTGTCTGTGTACACTTTTTGCCTTCTGTCTATACCACACTTTTTCGATTGAAGCTGGTTGGGCCCTTTGTTTCTGTGCCTGTGAGCGTGTGTCTGTGTTTGGAACTGGTTTTACGAGGGTGACAGATCGACTGATATGAGGAAATGGTTACTCACAGAAGCTCTCCGGGAAGTGTGGAGACTGATCGACTGATATGAGAAATGGCTTCTTTTGTGTGCGGGTGGGCGTTTGTACGCTTGGTGAACAGACCGGACTGTAATGAGCATAACTTTGCAAGCCGCACGGAGTGCTTCCGATGCAACGCTCCGCGCAGGGACTAAGAATGAAAAGAGTGCAGCAGCCAACACCAGCGGCAAAGGAGGTGAGAGAGAAGTAGTGTGCATACATGAGAGAGAGAGAGAGAGTGGATATAAATTGTGTCGAAGTCGTGAGGTCGTGTGGAAGCGATTTGTGGCAGAGGGTGAGGTGTCTGCTGATGATTGTGTGGGTGGGATGGTAATGAACATGGAAGGAGGGGGGGAGTGAAGGTGAGTCCTTAACGCTGTCAATAAGGATGGGAGAGAATGGGGTAGAACTTAAATTCTATTTATGATTGGCAAGAACTTCAATTCTGTTCATGATTGGCTGGAACTTGAATGCTGTTGACGAGGCATTTCGGCTGTGCTGGTGCAATATCCAAAAAGCTTTGGCTGTGCTGGTGAAATATCCTCGAAGGTTGTATGCCCATGATGGGAACTGATGGCATGCACTGTGTTGTGATTCGTGCAGGACAGGGGATTATTTTTTAGATAATGGAGTGAAGAACTGCAGGCTGGGGTATGTATTAGGATTGGCATGGACGGCAGTTTTTTTCGATGAGATTGAGCGGTGGGCGTTGAATCAAAGGGAATATCGCCAGCTTTTTCATTCTAATTAAGGAGGCGTCGGTGGGTAGGGCTGTACAGTATTTGATTCTCTTTTGGTCTTCCCTCCCTTCGGAGGGGAACTCTGGATTACGGTGGAGTGCGAGATGAAAGGGCTTGTTTGGGAAACTGAGCGGCAAGGGCAGCAGCAGTGTATTCCTTCGTGTGTTCTATGTCGGGGAGTTGACTGGTGACGCATTGAGTGTGAGAGCGGGAGGGTTGTGTGTATGTGTGCGTGAGAGAGAGAGAGGGAGAGCGAGAGAGAGAGGGGGGGAGAGAGTGGAGGTTTTGTTCATGACATTCGTGTGAGAGGGCTTTTTCTCCTTTGACTAGTTGTCGGGGGCAGCGCGGCCAGGGGAGAATGAAGAGGACTGAGGAAGCGGAGAGAAGAGGGGAGTGAGTGTATACCGGGGACGAATAAGATGGATGTAGAGTTGACGTCTGGTGTGTACAGGGTCGTGCGTGCATGTGCTTTTTTGTGGGTGGATGGAGGGGTGAAGGGAGGAGCATTGAGTTGGTGAACTTAGGAGAGCG